CGCCCAGGAATCCGAGAGGCAGCCACAGAACTTCAGCGGCCGTGAAAATCAATAAATCACAGGAGTCTCTATAACCCGACGGCTTTAACTCGGTAGGTATTTTCAAAGCAAAGGCAACGTTGTTTTGTAGACTGTGAAATCATACTTCGGCTTGTTAAGAGCCCGGAGGGCAATTTGCAGGAAACCGGAGCTCATTGGCAATTGGGCAATCTTTGTGAACAGACAGACAGACAGACAGACCTTGCCATGAACAAGGAAGAAGCTCAAGACGGCGGCGGGCAGGATGTGGATCACTTGAATCGTCCCCTCTCTCTCCCTCCTCTCTCTCCTGGTCTGCCCCACCCCAGCCCTCACGTCTCCCCTGGCCTGGGTCTCTCCTTCAGGATGCCCCGACTACATCCCTAACGACACAACTGGACTGAATGCCCTCGCCTCATCCTCCCCCAAAGGCGACTTCAGGGTAACGAAAATGTTCCAGCGGCCTTGGATTTGTGTCTGACATTATCGTTATGTCTATTCTGCACCCCCACGGCTCCCCCCACACACTTTTTTTGAGGGATAGCGAATCCAGCCCACTGATCCTCTGCCTGTCTTCACGCAATCATCGCTCTATTCCAAACATCTCGGAGCCATCAACAGGAAGAAGAGAAAAGCCTGATCGCTCAAGTCAAGTGAACATAAATCACGACCTAGACGGAGCCGCACACGGGGACGAGGGATTCTGAAGCCGGCCTGAAACACTGAACTGCCAAACAAGTTCCTGCTCGAAGCCTCTCAGGAGTCGTTGGAGACCAGTCTTCCCTTTCCGGATTTCCATACATTTGTAACGGGATAATGACTGGAACCGCAGCTAAAATTCCGATCTGCTGACCGCCCCTCGCAGTATTCTTAAACCTCCAACGGGATGAGACCAGGAGGCTCCAATTTCGGATGGAAATTGTGCTTGGGCGACTCAGGGGCTCTGGCTGGGTTAAACCCCAGCCTAAAAGGTGGGCTCACACATCCCCGAGACCTTCCCTCACTCCCAAGCAAACGAACAGAGAGAGCGTGCAGGGAAATGATGCTTTGGCAACCCTCTCGCGGAAACTGTTATTATTATTTTTGATCATCCTTATTTTTAACTGGGGAGTCTGGCCTCCCGGGAGCCTGGCTGGCTTTCTGTAAGAAACTTTTTGTCTTGACAATACAAACCATTTATTTGATTCGGAGCTGCAACAGAAGAGCAGCTTCAAAGAGAATCGAGTCAATGTGTGACATTTATCTTTATGGCAAACGGACACTGTCCCCCCCTCGATCGCGTCCCCTTTCAGAGCGGCCGCGGAGCATGTGCTGGGTCGCATGAAAGACACCTCCTCCTCCGGTGTCATGTCCCCCTCGGAGGGGGAAAGGCGACTGAGAGGTGGGCTCTTGAAGGACTGAAATACACCCTGACCCCATGACAACAGAATCCTGTTCAAAAAAAGAGAAATAAGGCCAAGCTGAAATGCTTTGGACTTCCCTTGACCTCGAGAAGGTCAGAGAAATGCTGGTGTCTGAAGCACTCGATGTGGGATTGCCTTTTCCAGCATGGATCGCTTTGTAACTCAAGAGTCGACTGGAGGTGCCCTTTTGGCAACGCCGGGAGCCATGCAACGAAGGAGGCAGCGGGGCCTGAAGTCAGGATGGGGTGCAGCTTCTTTTGCATGGACTTTTTTTGGGGACTCATGTGTGTGTGTGAGTCATTTGGCCAGGCAAGCCTGTTCCCTGAGGAAGGAACAGGTCTACTGCCTTGGGTGGGACTCAAGGTTTCTTTCTAAGGGACAGGGTTTGAAAAGGCCACGAGAAATGTTTATAAACTTGGCAGCGCCTGCCCACCATACCCCCCTCATATTTTCTAGGTAAAGTCGAGACACAGCCAAATGCAGCATCTAGGTTTTCCTGACATCAACAGTTTGCCCAGTGTGGACGGGGGTGGGAGGAGAGGGAGAGACAGACACTGGGGGGGCGGGGTGGGGGGTCAGACCAATCTTCCCTCCACTCCTCTAATTCAAAAGCCAGTGAGTGACCCAGGGATGGGACCCCAGTGGCAGAGCACAACATACTTTGCAGATTCGAGGCCCTGGAGATTACCTCATCTGGGCTTCTCATGACCCCAGAACCTCCTGGAGGGGCTGTGACCTTTAGCCCCTTCACCCAAAGTGACCCCCACAATTAACACTAGGATAATATTTTAATGAAGGGGTCAGAGATAGCTCAAGTGAGAGCGCACAGGAGACTTCATCCCTGGCATTAAGTGATGCCCCGGTACCAAAGGGATAGCCTGAAGAAACAAACAACAAAAACAGAAAAATCACTGATCCAAGGCACAGCAACCAAATCGCCTCGTCGTGAGATTACAATAAGCAACAAACTTTGATATTCTCTCGGACCCCTTCTTGGCGCACCATCCAGTTAAGAAGTTGCCAATGTACCGAAAGCTCTCTCTGACCCTGACATGCGACCAGAGTGGAGTTCACTGGAGGGCATTCCCACGGACACCCAGAGTCCAGTTCAGGGACCACATTAAGAGCCCTCCAGTTTTCCTTTGAAGCCATCATTCTTCTCGCCTTAGCCAGAAGATGAATGATGCTCAAGTACCATCCCTCATGTGGGCTCTTGCATGAGGTGTGTGGACCAAGGGCCCAGCGGCCAATCAGCTGCGGTCCCCCAAGTGCAGGAAGTCCCTCCCCCTCCCCTTTCCATTTGAACAATTTGAACATTCACTGATTAAAATGTCAAGAGCTTCTGTGACAGAATAAATTCGTAAAAAAGAAAGGAAAACACAATTTCTTAGAGAAAGTCCACTGAGAAGTTTACTGAGATGATGGCTGGAGTAAGTAACCCCAGAAGAGAACTGCTCCTCCTCACCCCCCTTGTCTATCCAACAACAAAATAGGCAACAAGTTAACTCTACTGCCTCAGGACCTAGTCTTTCTGCTCCTCCTCCTCCCTCCTCCCTCCTCCTCCTCCTCCTCCTCCTCCTCCTCCTCCTCACAGGCAACGAGTTAACTCTACTGCCTCAGGACCTAGTCCTCCTCCTCATCCTCCCTGTCCTCCTCCTCCTCTTCCTCTTCCTCCTCCTCTTTCTCATCATCATCATCCTCATCATCATCATTACATGAATCCATCTATTTGCTGAAGTGCAAAACTACTTTTCACAAAGATTGCCAGTTAGATCCAAGATACAATGACCAAGGTGTTACAGTGTATCTTTAGTTTCATGTATCTTTAGTTTCACCACTTGTCAGGCCAACTAGAGTTCATTATTAACTTTGTATCAAAGTTTTTCCAACCAGCTACTTTCAGAACAGTGCAACTACCATTAATACTTCTATCTATATATGTACAATAATTAGACATAGAAGTTTGATGAAGTTTCACACACTGCCACGCCCATCTGCTGCCATCCCAGTGTGAAATTTCTAGAAACCAGGTGAGACAAATCCCACAGCCCATTTTCCATCTCCTCCCTATTCTTCCCCTTGTCTCCCAGCTGGGACCATTTCTCCGTTTCACCAGACAGTAGGTGAGCAGAGAGGAGAAATAAAATCTGGAATTGATCAATGTGGCAAGATTTGGTCAACGCCTCAGAAACTCTCAAGCACACAATTAGGATCACTCAACATCATAAAAGTTCCAGACATCCGTTTCCCTTTGTTCTAATAGGATGTTCTACATACTTTTTAAAAAGGGATTATAGCCAGTACCTATAGTTCCCTGGGCAATTTAAATGGAAATTTGTCCTAAATGCACCAAGAGGGTGTTAGCTGAGATTGTTCAGTTACTTGCTGGGCTAAGCACTTCTCCCTCAGTCTGACTGCAAAGAATCAAAAATTGGCTAGACAGTGTTTATACCGCGGAGGACCACGGAGCCTACTTCCTGTTCCAATTGGGCAGGACATCCTCCAGAGACCTACGAAATGCCATCCATCTATCCCTGGGATGATCGATTTGTCATACACACAACTGAAAAAAAAAAACACCTTGTCCAAGAAACCACATTTCTGCTGTGGGAAAGTCCAGACACTCAATCTCTCCCTCCAATGAACAACTCTGAACGTCAAGGCTCTCTGTCAAACAGCGACTTCCCCGTTGCAAAGGACTCTCCCCCCAGGGAAAATTTAGGACTCAAAGATTCCGCATGCACATCCCTGCAGAGTCTGACTGGACGGGACAAAAAAGGCGGCCTTTGCTTGGAGGGGGGCCGAATGACAATATCCGCGAACATTCTGATAAACAGGCTTGATCAATGAACAAGACTCAAATGCCACCAAACCGACAAACAAAAAAGAGAAATGCAAATGCGCCTGGGAAGTATAGACGGGGATCGATTATGACAGACTCACGGCTGGTGACGCAGAGGTCCAGCAGCGGTGATGGAAGTGACTGGGCCTACTCTGCTGTTCTGAAGCAGTGAATATCCCCACCCCAGGGGCCAGGGGCTCTGGGCACACTAGCACATGCTTGGCTCGGCACATACCTTTGAGACTCCGAGACTAAACTTGGTAAGTAAAATAGTAATAATAATAACAACAACAACAATAGTAATGATAGGGGCTGGAGCAATAGCACAGCGGGGAGGGCGTTTGCCTTGCATGCGGCCGACCCAGGTTTGATTCCCAGCATCCCATATGGTCCCCTGAGCACTGCCAGGAGTAATTCTCGAGTGCAGAGTCAGGAGCAATCCCTGTGCATCACTGGGTGTGACCCAAAAAGCAAAATAATAATAATGAACAATAATAATAATTTCTCGGAGAGGGAGGAACAGCGCCTAACTTGCAATCATTCATTGATTGCAGAAGCCAAGCTCGTGCTACCAGAAACCAACTCTCTGGCTGGCGGGCAGGAAGGACCTGTAAGCCTGTCTTTGGCTCCCGGGAAGTCCCCGGCCCAGATGGTGACGCCCGCACGGAAAAGCCAAGGCTGGCGGCACTCCGAATGTACCGGCCGAGAGGGGGTGATTGAAAGAAAAGGTTCCATACCTGAGCTGGAGGGTTTGGAAACTCTTCCCTTGGGGACGGGGAGTAGCAGTAACTCCAGGGACTGCGGCGGTGGGGGCGGCGGCGGCGGTGGCGGGCTGACTTTCTCCGGCTTCTTCTCCGAAGGCGGTGGCGGCAGGGCGTCCTCGGGCACCAGGGACGACTTCTCGGCCAGCAGACTGCCTGCCGCCCTGGCTGCCACCTCTTTGAGAAGGGCCGCCGAGGAGGTCATGGACGCCAGGGAGAGGAAGGAGCTGGCCGGAGGAAGATGCTCCTGCCCGGGCGTCAAGCTTCTCTCACTGACTTTCTTGGACAGAGCCGCCAGCGTGGAACTGGCGGACTGGGCGCTAAAAGGGGAGGAAAAGGGCTCAAATCGCATGGTCTCCTCCGTCCTGGCGAGAGACTTGTCCTGCAGAACGGCATTGGCTGCGGCCTTCAGTTTGAGGATGGCAGAATCCGGGGACAAGCCGCAGGTGGTGGTTGAGTTAGGCAACCACTTACCTTGATTCCAGATAAAACGGTTACTTGGAGTGTATTGGTCGTTCGGGTCCTGCTTCTCGGCCAGCTTCCTGGCCAGGACGCTGAGCTGCTGGGCATGGTGGGACGGTGGGGAAAAGGAGAGGTTCGCGCCGACGGCCACCGGGGACTCAGCCCTGCCGTTGGCCGGGGTGGCCGCGGCGTCGAGTTTGAGGGAGCCGGCCTCCAGCAGCCGTCGCAGGTTACTGCTCAGGGGCTTGGCGGAGCCCGGGGGGTCGTCGTCGCACAGGGAGGACACGCTGGGTGACAGGTGGCCCTGACACTGCAGGGAGTCGCGCAGAACCTCACCGTCCAGCGCCACCAGCTCCAGGGTGTGGCTGCTGGGGGTGGCGCTCCCCAGGGAGGTGTCGGGGGACGTGGACTGCTCGTGGATGCGGTCCTCCAGCGACAGCTTGTAGTTCTCCTGGACTTCTCCATAGGACGCCTCCGAGGGGGTCTCCGAGGAGTTCCCATACCACGGCTCTCCCTCGCTGAGTTCGCCCTCCGCCTCGTCCTGCCTACTAACATCTGGGGGAATCAAGAAGACGGGGTTTACTCCCACAGTGAGCAGCAAGCACGCCGGAAGACATTCAAACCGAGGGGGTGGCATGCGCCCTCTTCCCGGACCCCCCAAGAACCACGGGAAAAGCAGCCGGCGGGCCCCTGGGGCAAATGCCACCCAGGCCAAGCTCGGCGACACCGGCGAGATCTAGGAAGCCAGAATTCTGGCTCTGTCTCCAGGCCAGTGGAACGGGGGAAATGGTGGAGGGGGGAGGTTAGAAATGAAACTGGGAAGGACGGAACTGGGACGAGGGGACACAGGAAGAAGCCACGACTCTGGTCAAAACAAGCAGTGGGAAACCTTCAGTCCGGGGGCAAGGTTGGGGGCCGCCTGGCAGGAGAGAGACCAGGCCACAGGGGCAGAGTCCCTGGACACAAGACCCGAGAAAGGGGAATGTGGCGTCTCCACTTCCTAAGTCTATGAGCTGGGAAAGTCACTTGGCTGGGTGGGTAGAAGATGCATATTTTTTGAGTTATCAACAGTACTTGTCTGACGCACTTCACTCCACGGTTATGAAGATTCAGTGTGTGGTCGTGATTCACCAAGAGCTAAGTACTACCAAAACGGTGAGCACCCTTGACGGGGCTCCATTATTAGGGGACACATCCCCCACGTGATCCACACTACCTCTCTGAGGCTGCTTGATTCCAATCCCCAACGCCCCGCCATCGTACCTGGGGCTGAAATGAGCAACTGTGCCCTCCCTTCACTCTGAGACACCTTTGATCCTATTCTGGCCACTGACTTCTCAATCCAGCACTGCCTCCCTCCCAATGACCCAGCTCTAGCCAGGGGAGGCTCCTGACCATTCCAGGGCACCTGTGACCTCTGCTCTACCTTTGCTCCAAAAATTATTTAGCCTAGTAGCACTGTAGCACTGTCCTCCCATTGTTCATCGATTTGCTCGAGCGGGCCCAATAACGTCTCCATTGTGAGACTTATTGTTACTGTGTTTGGCATATCAAATACGGCACGGGGAGCTTGCCAGGCTTTGCCGTGTTTAGACTAGTGTGTCCTTCCAAATCCTATTCCTCTTTCTACATCCAGCTCAGAGTTGAGTCTCCCTACCACTCACGGAATGCACTGCCTCCCACCGCCCCCCATTTCTCATTCATTCATTCATTCATTCATTCCTGCGACAAATCATAATGCAGCAGGCCAGGAGTGGTTCTAGACTGGACAAGATGAGACAAAATGAAACTCGGGCAGTGTCTGTTCCAACGGAGGAAGACAGCCATTGAGGAAGGCGCAGACACGATTATCTCAGAGTGTCATCCCAAGAAAATCAATGATGTGGGAAAAGATATCGAGGAGGACCAGGAATCTGTAGGTAACGCAAAGGAGGGGAGTTACCATGGTAAATAGGGGGGGTGAGGATGGGGCTTCAGTGAAGCCCTGACACCTGGGCAAAGACCTGAAAGAGCATCTAGGTTTGGGGCAATTTTCTGGGCAGAGGGAGTCACTACACAGGCCTAGATGCCTTTACAGAATTTGAGCATACCAATAGGTGGTTTGTTTCTGAACAGCATGAAGGCCAGTGTGGGGAGAGAGAATGGCAGAACAGGAGAAGAAGAGAGAGAGAGAGAGAGAGAGAGAGAGAGAGAGAGAGAGAGAGACGGAGTGGAGCTGTTATTAGGGAGAAGTACTATGTGGATCAGTCAGACACTGTGAGCCACTGAAAGCCCTTTAGCATCAGGGAAACTGGAACCCACTGGCTTGTTGGGCAGAGGACAAAAATGATGGGAAGCCCATTATAGGCATCCTTGGAAATCCAGCCCTGGCTGTCCTATGGGGAACGGATAGCAGGGGGAAGTTGGGCCTCTGGCTGGAGGCTGGAGGCCGAACGCCAGGTGAGAGGTGCTGGTGGCTGAGTTCAATTGCAGATAGATGGGGAGCTGCAGCTGGATTATGGGCAGATCTGGAATGTAGAGCCAACGCTCCTAAGCTTTGTCTGCATCGATTTTCTGTCACGCTAAAGTATCTGCTTACCTTTAAAAAGGGTGTTCCTTGAAGGCAGGGGTTGTTTTAGTATCTACATCTCCCACGCCATGCCTTGCCCCATACTGGTCCCTAGCAAGATAGATTCAGTGGTTGGTGAGGGATCGAGCCAACACTCCCCACTGTGCCAAGTTTTGTTCTGCGACAGGCGGTTCGGTGTTTTGAAAAGAAAGAGCTAGAATGAGGAACACATGAACTACAAGCTAATACATTGATCTTCTCATGCTATTTAGAGAAGAAATGTCACAAATGACAAATTCTCTTTCACTAAGCTAAAGTTCGGCAACTCCTTCCTGAGATTCGTTATTAAGTTATCAAGAAAATGTAAAATATCAAATGGAATTTGCTGGGGGAAAAAAGCAGATAAAATCGAATTTTCTCTGTTAAAGACAGTCTGGTTCCTTGTGATCTGCCCCATTTCCTTCTTCCCACTTGATTTCAACATTTTTCATCTTTTCCGAAACAGGCGGGTCCCTGAGCTTCTCTTAATGCTCCTCGAAAAGATACTTTTCACCAAACGCGACACCATCCACACACGTTTCAACAACCAGGCTACATTAAGTTCCTCTGGCAAACCATCTTTTTTTTTTTTTGATTCCAGATTAAGTCTCTCATCCTTCAAAAGAATCATATGGGAGCTATCTAGCAAGGTGTCAGAGCGGGAAAAAGATTGAAAACGATCACAATGAAAACTACACAGCTAGTTCCTCTCAGACATCTCTTCTTTGATGTTTTATTTATTTTATTTTATTTTATTTTTTGCTCTTTGGGTCACACCTGGCGATGCACAGGGGGTTCCTCCTGACTCTGCACTCAGGAGTTACTCCTGGCGGTGCTCAGGGGACCATATGGGATCCTGGGAATCGAACCCAGGTCGTCAGCATGCAAGGCAAATGCCCTACCCGCTGTGCTATCTCTCCAGCTCCTTCTTTGATGTTCTATAACACTAACTACTATACAAATTAAAGGCACAAACTTTGGTCAAACTAAAAGAGATCTAGAAGAATGATCTAGAACCAACGTGTTAAGGGTCTGTTAACAAAATACATAGAACCAGAGTTCTAAGAACCACAAATATCAGAACCACGTGTCCAGTCTCGACATTCTACTCAGACAATGAAATGCTCCGATGAGATGTTTTTACCCAGTGGAGGTAAAAGCCAGGCACCTCATGGCAGAAGCAAGGACCCAACTCTCTCTCAACACCTGGCCCACGGTCACTTGACAAAGTCCCACAGCACCTCTGCCAGATGTTCTCCAAATGGCAACTTTTAGAAAGCTCAGAACAACTGCTCCGGCCCTGCCATCCTTCTACCTTACCTTCAATAAAAATCTCGCAGAAAAGGACATTTTTCACTCTTCCCTCCTGTCTCTGTTCCCTCAGACTTTTCTGCAGCACAGTGTGCCCAAAGTTGATCTAGATGCCTACAGAATCGGCTCCTCATTCATTGGCAAAGCCCCAAAACACTGCTTTATTTCTAATCTCCTCTACGGGCAAGAACCCTCAGTATGCAAGAAACTTCCCCTTCCAAACGTGCCGAGGTGGGTAAGTACGTCAAAGACGACACAGTTGTCAATTTTGGCTCTAATCTCATCATGCTGGGACAGGGAGAGCCAAGCCTTCTCAAATGAGACCTAGCCTGAAAGACAGTCTCCGCACCTTGCCAAAACGCAAGCCCCCCGACAAGCAAACATGCGAAATGAGTATTTCTTAAAGACATGCGTTGTGGAAGATATGCTATCATGTCTAGGTATCTTTCAACCATTCTCTCCTCCATTCTTTGAAGACATGATCACGAGAGCCTCTTTTTCTGGACTGCAAGAAAACTAAGGTACATAAAGAATATATTTAAGCTCCCTAAGTCTCTATTAATCACTTTTCTGAAGAAAAGATCACATCTACTGAAATTGAGGCTATACAAGTCTTTAAAAAAAATGCCAAATAACTCTAATGCATGACCCTGAAAGAGAGAGACCAGGAACCCCGGGGCTGAGACATACCTGAAATTATTCTGGCATCACCTGAGCGGAAAAGGTGGGGGAATTTTTCAAAAGAAATGAACACAAGAGATATGGGCTAGAGAAATAGGACAGAGGTTAAGGCCCTCGCCTTACGAGCAACCAGATTTAATCCCAGGTTCAATCCAGGTTCAATCCCCGGCATCACACAGGGGCCCCTGGGCAGTGCTGGTCCAACTGCCCCCCCACAAAGAAAAAGACAAAACCAAGAGATAGGAGATGTGCAGAGACTTGAGAAAAAACAGAAGCCCCAATGAAGTTTTTTTGTTTTTGTTTTTTTGCTTTCTGGGTCACACCCAGCGATACATGGGGTTACTCCTGGCTTTGCACTCAGGAATTACTCCTGGTGGTGCTCAGGGGACCATATGGGATGCTGGGAATCGAACCCAGGTCAGCCGCAGGCAAAGCAAACGCCCTCCCCGCTGAACTATCGCTCCAGCCCCACTCCAATAAAGTTTTAGCTCACAAAACAGCCACGAGCAGGGTTTGTTCTCCCAACTAGGCATTTCTCTTTCTCCCGGGCTGCTGCTGATTTTCACAGCCAGCTTCATTCCAGATGACTTTCTGGAAGGCTGCGCAGGTTAGGGATCAGGGTTCCCCTGAGGTGGGGGTGGGGGTGGGGGTGGGGGTGGGGTCTTAGGATGCCCCCTCTGGCACATTCTTACAGCATCAGAGGACTGGCTTTCCCGAAAGGGAGAACTCAAAAAAGAAGAAAAGGCAATTCCGCAGTCCCGGGGTGGATCTGGTGTGCCCTGCTAACTGCAGCACAAGGCAGACTCACTTTCACAATCAGAGGAGGCCCCAGGCAGTCAGAGTTCCAGCTTCCGGTCTGCCTGTCACCAGCCCAGAATGGTGGCAGCGACTCAGAGGGGCCCACACAGGCCGCTCCGGGAAACGCTTCCTGCACACAGCAGCCCTGGGGTCCACAGCTTCCCGCCGGCGGCCAATG